GCACTTATCCCTTTTGTCCGCCTAATTCGCCATTGCTTCACGCAAACGTGTTCAACGAAGCTAACAGAATACATTGTTACGGACATTTAACATATTTCGTGGTTGTGATTTCGATAAACCCAATTATCTCATGTTGAAAATGCGTCTTTGACAAAAATTAAGCAAACCCAGATTATGTATTATATATAATAATAATAATAATATTCATAATAATTCACATTATAAGCTGCACTAAAAGCTAACTAATAAGAAAGAGATGCGGCTATAGGAAAAGAGAAAGAGAGAAAAAATATTAGCACTATATTACAATTGTATTTTCTTGTTTTCTTTTTTTTTTTTTAATAATTATTTTATTAACTTAGAAATTTAGAATATTAGAATATTTAGAAACTTAGAATATTTTTGTCACTTATGCGCGTTGTAACATATTATCAACATTTTTTAAATTCTTATTTCAATGATTATCTAGGATAACAATTGAGAATTAAGTTATTCAGATTAAATTGTTGATATGCAAAAAAAATATATATATACATATAAACTTATAGAAATAAATATCATAAAAAAGGATCAATAATTCAATTGCTCAGCGATGTATATTTTTGGAATAATGATTAGGTAAAATTTCATTATAATCGAAACGTTTTTAAAAATTATCAATTTACAATTAAACACATTTTTTCATATATTAATAATAAACATTTAAAACATTAATAACCGTATTTAAAAGAATTTCAATAAATTTTTTTTCACAGAGATTGTCCACATCTTCCACATATGTAAACGAGCCATACAATTAATCAATTTTTTTATTTTGTAATATTTATTTTCACAAGTTTATATATATATTTATATTCTAATAAAAATAATAAATTTTCTACAGAATAGTGCTTAATCTCATTTCGTACTTATTATAAAATAACAGCTATTTAATTCTTGCCCTGTGCAGTATATATTGTTCTTTTATCTTGTTAGCTGCATCTCAGACGATAATTAATCTTTTGTACACCGTAAAGACTTATGATGTATTTCAAAGTTTTAAAACTCTAGTCTATTGTATAATATCTTCTTCGCTCGGAAGTGTTCTAGACTTTACTAATGAAAATCTCATCAATTATTTTGCGTTAATAAGAAATTAACCCAGAACACCCAAACGATGTTTAATAATATAAGCGCCGTGTGCATTTGGCTCACCTGTGACCTGCGTGCCCGGTCTGTACTGCGACGATGAAGCCAGGATCTTGTAAGGGCTTGTGTTTAAGGGTTGTGACCGCGCTTCACCATGATAGGGTTGATTAGGCCGTGGTTTCACGCACGCGTCTACCGGCGCACCGTCCGGGAACCCGAAAACGGAAATCGAGAAGAGGACGAGTGTAAATAAAACCGTAACGTGTCCGGCGAAATACATCTTGGATCGCGTCGCTTTCTTCGTTTCGATGACGCAGAAAATACATGCAACAAAACTTTATTAATACCGATTGTTCTTGATGGAAAGGATGAGCGATGAACGTACAATACTCGCAATATACAGATACACTATATATTCCTTGAACGTCAAAATATATAATTTGTTTCAATTATAATGCGGTTTTCAATTACATTTAGGTATACCATTTGTTGGCGCTTATGCCATTCGTATTCTCCAATTTAAATACCACAAAAATAACAAGATACAAATATTCTCAAGTAGCTAATATACAAGAGTATTATTTATAAAGCTAAAATAATATATCAAGTTGACGATCTACTTAAAACGTCGTTGATTTTAAATTTATTAAATACTTTGCTACATGTAGCTGATTTCACAAATGAAGTTTTAATACGCGAACCTAATTTGACACAGAAAGATTCGAGATACTATTTATTGTTAGTGGAGAACCGGATCCCGATAACCGGTAATAACACGAAGATATGGTCGGAAATGTCGATCACTTCTTCACGCAAACGATGAATTAATTAAGTAGCTTCGCGCGATAACGGGATAAACTACAAAGACTTACTCGAAACAGTTCGCTGTTTTGCACAACAATCGCGCGAGGAAAAAAGGATGTTTCGTGCTCGTGATAGATCCGCGCGCAAGAAACTGCAGTATCCAATCGATTGCTGGCAAGCCAAACCGTTGGTGGGATCCCACCACAGGATCACAAAGCCGCACATTCGTTTTTGCTAAACTGATTCATTCCTTCACTTTCACTCGATCCCTTCATCGATCCTGTAACCGGTTCCACTTTTCGTTCGTTTAGGAAAATATCTACGAGTTTTACGTGTAGTATTACATACTACCATAAATAGTATTACTTCCTTTTACGTGTCACATAACGATGTCACATAAGATGATGTTGTAACTACTGTTACCATTTTCACCAAGTATATATAAAACTGATTTCTCGTCACAAAACGACGTGTCGTTATTTATCGCATTTACGATGATTCCATATTCTGCGTATCCTTTTCTTATCTTGAAATTTTAGTATTTTTAAATTAATAAAATTCAATATAGAAATAAATTTTTTAAAGAATGCGTTCCGATATTTCATAAATTTATACTTTCAAACTGCATAATTCAATATATTGACATTTTAATTTTTGTATAGATATTAAATAATATTAAAATAATTAGTAAGTTCTTTTTGAAAGAGAAAAACTTAAAAAGTCATTAACATTAAAATACATTGTTTTTATAATGTTGCTTGTTATAGAAAATGTAATATGTAAATATTTACATTTTATCGTTAAATCAGAACTATCCTCCTTCCATAAGATTAATAATTTTGCCGTAATTGCAACTTTGTTTGCGAATTAGTTAGTTTAAATAATACAAAGTGAAAACCAAAATAAAAGATGCATTTATTAAAATGTATTAAACTCTCTTGATGCATCTACACGCTATTTGCATTACTCTTTTATCGAGCATGACTTTATCTCCATCATCATTGTTGTCACATGGAATATGGCTATTATTTGTTCGTTGTTAAAGTTATTACCATTTCGTTCTGTAATATTCGTAATGCATATCTCGTTCTCTCGTTTAGATTTTTACGTTATATATATGTTTCGCAAGAGAATATATGAATATTTAAACTCCAAGTTCTCGAGTGAATGGATAAAAGGAATCCATATTCATATCAATTAAAATAAAACGGATAAAATTATGAAAGAGTTCAAGAACGCCCCGCGAATATATTATATTCCGATAAAACGGCAAACGATATGCAGCTCTTGTTGCAAGATAAAAATCTTTGAAGTTTTGACTTCTCGTATATTTTACAGATTTGTTGAACTGTATAAGCATTCGCAACAAATCGAGTTGTTGCACATTGCATTCGATTACGTATTCGCGACTCGCCAGTACGATCCTTTCACTGTCGATTATTAAATGTTATGCGTAACATTTACGCATGTAAATTCACGATTTGCATTACATCAGACTTATAACATTGACCCTTACGCAATAGTTTTCTTTTATGTGTGTGTGTGTGTGTGTGCGTGTGTGTGTATGTGCGTGCGCGCGCGCGTGTGTGTGTGTGCGATATACGTACTCGTTCGATTATTATACATATAAAATTGCGCGTTCGATCGGGATGAGTAGAAAAATACAAAATGCTCTGCAGTCGTGCAGAGCAATCGCGTTGCGTGTCAAACCCTTCGAACGGGCGCGCATAAATGCAAAAGCGTGCGCGCGTTACACATACATGCGCACGCTCTGACACGTACACACGTAGATACATACACGGCGAGTTCACTCAGTCAATGTGACTTTTCACATCGTATTATTGATTTTCCACGGCCTTTTCAGGCCGTCTCAGTTCTGTGTCGACGCTGGAAATATTTCTTTTAGATTACTTCGTAATCGCATCGCAAAACCAAATAATTTATTTGCATCTATACCTTGTTTACGTTTTTACAAATATCTTTCCTATTGTCTTGACTTAAAACATGTATGAATTTTTCTTGTAATATGCATCTTTTGTTTTCTTAAAAATTGATTAAAAAACTTATGTTAATGATTCAAAATATATTTAATTATAAAATAGTTCGTTTTTCACAAAGCAAGATTTGTTGCTATTAAAAATAGGATATTTACACGTTGCTGTATTTTTTATAAATTTTTTATAATTATATGTATAAATGTAACTTAAGTTATATGTATATGTATGTAATATTATTAAATTATACAAATATATATATAATTACATGTATATTGTATAACAAAACTGTGCTAGCAAGTCACCGGAGAATCTCTCAATAAGTAAAAGTATATATACAATATATTTTTCTTATTTATAAAGAAGAATGTTATAATGTAGGAAATATATCTCTTAATCTATTGAGTGGTTTGAGGTAAATATCAAAAAAATATATGATTTGAACACAAATAGGCATGGAATATACAATGTTCTATAAATGACGCGTATTCTGCACAGCTTTTACTATAAAAAGACGCTAAATTTATCAGCTAAATGTTTCCTCATAAATATTGTGACACAGATTTTTAAAAACTAATAAATCGTTGGTTTTTTGATCAAATTATCTAAGCCATACAGATTTTTCAATTACTTCCACCGCACAGGGCCGCGGCAACCATCCCCTTATACGTTTCGATTTTGCATCTTCTCCTTCCTTCTGTTCTTTTTCTCCAAATAACCAATATCTGCAAAAATATATATAAAAATTTTTCGTTAAATTATTTAAAGAAATAAATGTTTGGAAATTTAATATTAAATACAGAATGCGTACTTTTTCCAACGTGTTACTATCACAATATCATCTATATCCAACTTGATGCGAGGTTCATCGGTACAAAGTGGATGAAAAAATACACCGCAACCGTGTCCAATTGGAAACTTGGCTCCTGATGCAGCTTTTATAATCCTGTATTTGCGTGCTCGTTTCCGTTTGTCTAATTTTTGTGCAAGCTGCTCTCTCTAGAAAGTAAATAATTAGCCCATTGAGAGTTTTTCAAAGTTAACAATACAGTACGCGCGCAAAAGCAATAATTATAGAAATTTTTATATCATATAAATGTTCCTAGTATATATGGATAATTATTATTCAATTTAATATACATATATTATTGCTTGAATAAAATTACCGTTAATGTATATTGATCACAGCCATCAATAATGGGCCATGTAATGCCATCGCCTACGGGAGTGCAATCCCATGTAAGAACTTGGCTAATATTGAAACGCCATCCTTTTGAATATGGATGTACATATTTGGCATCTGCATCTCGCCGACATCGAGCCTTCTCCAGAATCCAATCTTCTATTTCCGTCCGATTTCTCACAATAGCTAACATCTGTGCAATTTGAAGAATTAGAGAATTAGTGCATTGGTTATTGCATCTATTGAAATAGGATCAAGAATATTTACCTGGAAATATAGTAACATTCCCACTGCAAGTACAACGCCGATGGATAAACCAATGCTAAATACTACTAATATTAATGTATAGACCGCTGGTGGTGGAAATGGCAAAGGCTTCAGTGATAGTACGGTCGCTACCCAAGAAATTAATATAACGGAAGAGACGCAACAACCACCGACTGCGCTTGCCAAAAATGCTGTGAAATGCCCATGATTACAATGTCCAACGCACGTATTTATCCATGGACAATGATGATCCATTTTCATCACACAACGATTACCTAAAAAGTAAGAACAGAATTACAGGAGAAAAAAAATAGAACTAATGAATTGAGCTTAGAAATGATCTAATCAATATTCTTTTTGCTATTTTATATATGCTAAATTATTGCAGTTTCATCGACACATTAACAAATCAATACATTAAGAAAAGTAAGAAATTCAGGAAGACCAGAATCGTTAAATTATTTGATCATTACATCAAAAAATATCATATTAAAATAATATCTATTATATATTATACATTTACATATTAAGTAATATCTATATTTATTATTGTTACTTTAGTTTTATTTATGTTATATTACATAACTTTTTTATATTTCTTACATTTTCTACAATGATGTGATCTCGGTGCTTTGTAACCTTGGCAGACTGTACAGTATTGCAGGTATTGTATATCTGTAGCTTTCTCCTGAAATTATATTAATGCAAATATATTAATAACAATACGACAATTTACTTATTTTACTTTATATCATAAATTTATCATTAAGTACAATTAAAATATAATAAAAAATTCAATAATATAATTAACAATATAATTTTTTAACGCTTTAAGAATATGAAATCCCTCTAAAAATTGGGACCATGTAAATTTGCTATTTTCAATTTGTATTCCCACAGTAATCAAACGTAAAATAAATGTGATAAATGTGAAATAACGGTAGAAAAAAACGGAAAGAGAAATTAAGTTTATTGGGTTTTCAGCTGTCCATCAAAGAGGGAATGGTTAAAAACGAAAGCATTCACTTTGAACAAGTTCAGTAATAAATGTGTAATATATTACCGGCATCCATTTTAATGCGAGGTATCCAGGTCCTTCGAAAATCGCGCTGATAAAATGAAATAAAGTCAATCCACTGAGAGTGAAGAACAGCAAGAAACTGGCTGCTCCTGGGATACTGTCTTGCGGCGGCCACCATTGTCTGCTACAGTGTATCGTCATCAATGTAATTATCTTTATCGTTGCTGCAACACAAATTAATATGACAAAATAAATCTGTTGCGTTATAGCTGATTATTTAGCATCTTTCTACAAATAATTTTCTTGCTATTGAGATTTTATACGAAAAATTCACATTAAATTACATAATTTATATTATTTACAATGTCAAGTAAAATAGGCACATTAAACATTTTGCACATACATATAAAATCATACAAAAAATATAAATATAACATAACATTAAAGTATTCTAATGCGATCTCTTGTTACTAATGAATAGTAAATTTTCGAAATTCACATCTGCGCCATGTATTATTTCAAGATGACTTTGATCAAATTCCAATTAACTTATCAAATAATATTTCATTAACATAGAATTATTTATCTTTTGTTCGATATATAAAAAAAGACCAGGAAATCATATGGTCGCTGAAAATTGGCAAACAAATGATCTATTGTTAGTAATTTACTAATAGCAAATAACTAGACTCGCTCAATGCACTGTATTTGAATCCAATAAAATCCTTGTTATCGATTGTCAGATTTCTTCTCTATTATCACATCTGTAATCCTTCAATATTTTTTCCAATTCCCTTAATTCCTCACTTCTCGCTTCACTTATTAAAATCCATACAATTGGTGTTAAAATCCTCCATTTCATTCTTCCTAACCCTTCATCAATCGCGTCATATTACTGCTAAGTATCAGGCAGATTTTTCTCGTCCACGTCTGCTCCATCCCTTTCCTCAGATCTTCACGCCTCCTTTATACAATTTCATTGATATTTTGCATGTCGAACGACAAAAAATTAATAATCCCACCTACATCACGAAGTGACACTTAACAAGTTAACCCTTCTCGAGTGAATTAATTTCTCGGAGTTTAATTAAGATCGCTTTTAGATTCGAATATAGAGAGATCAGTCGCGTTTCGTGACAAGGATGAGACGACGATCGACTGACAATTGAGAGATGAAGAAAGTCGGAGCAGCCCGATTGACAGGAGACACCTGTCACGTACCCAGCGCGGAGAGCGGTCCCCAATGACACATCTTCTTCAGCGGGCCGACGCACATATTGTCACCGTACAGCGGCCTCGAGTTCGCGTCTGGATGCCCATTGACGCCCGCAGGATTGGGCGACGCCAGCGAATTTCGCAGCGACAGCAACGGAACGGCGGCACTCGGCAGCCGGAGCCTCCGCAAAACGTGCGTCTCCGCGCGTTGCCTTGCCGCACACGTTGCTGTTGTCACGATGGCCGCCCGCACAACGCGTCATCGAGCGGCGACCGGTCACCGGCGACCACTTCGCAGCTGACGCCAAACTCGAATCGCGAATCGCGCGCAGTCTGGTGCTGGCTTTAAATTGGCGCTGGTGCGACGCACGTCTTCCGGCGTGTCTTCTAGACGAGATTCGCGACACGGCGGGTTATTGGCTCGTTACGAGCGTTGTTGCAAGGTTATGTCCTCCTGTGACGATAAAATATGAACCGGAATGCATGAGCAGCATGAGGTATGTCTTCAGATTTCATTACTACTTATTTTTCTGAGAAAACATATCGGCTTCTGGCAAATAAAATCCTCAATGGCAGGATTTTCTTATATCACATAGGTATAGATGCTGGCAAAATGTCGAAAACAGATCTTTCAAATGTATTACGTATTTTGTCGGTAGAATGCCAGTAAAAATAGAGCAGAACTCTTGCTAGTAGAATGTGAAGGCAGATCAACTGTAGGAACCAAGAACCAGAATTATTTTTTAATCATTTAAATGGATACAAAATGACAGATTCTACACAGTTTCTAGCAATTTGTTAGCATTTTAAGGATGTTTGGTACCTACAATAGTAGCAAAAAGTTAAAGAACTGATTTTGACGAATATGCTCTTCTCATATAGTTTGAGTAATAAGGATTGTGCAGAATGTTATCATTTATTCAGAACTAGAGCGCAGAAATGCTTCTGTTGCTTTTTTCCTGAGAATTTTCGAATTTTATGGCCAAATCTAACCAAAAATTAAATTAAAATCCTTATAACTTTGGATTGCTTCAGTGAATCGACTCA